ATCCATGCACAATCAGAACACTAAATCGCCTGCGATAATTTATGTCTTCATAAATCGATGGTGGCTGAACATATGATCACTCCAGGACACCAGATAGAGTGGTCTAAAACCCAACCTTTAGCTGGATAGGGCGACTTCACATCTAAGCAGAATATCAGGGAGTCGATTGAAATTTGCTACATTCAAAGAATCTACCGTGATGTTGAAGTACTTTTTATTAAGGGATTTTTCGAAACTCATTTTTTCTACAAATCTACTGTGATCGTTGTTTTAATATCCATTTATTAATATTTTTAAGAGGGAACCACTTGGCTGAGGAATTATTTAGAAGTTCTGTCGGCGATGTAATTTACTTTATTAAAAACTTCATCGTTGTCAGTCAAACTGACTAAATTGAAAATACTATCGATTGTTTTTTTTAATTTGGAATCAAGGTGCTTTTGCTTAAGTTGTAAGCTTTTAAGAAGCAGATAGCTGTCTGGCATTATCTGTAGATGTCGACATTATACATTTTTTTCATGATTTTTCAGGAACTGGTTGGTATTCTTCATATAATTAATTTTTTAATGAAAGTTGAATAAGTATAGGCAATATGGGCTTACGATTTATGCCTAGATTGACACAGAGCTACTTGGATACGAGGCTCTAATTACTTCAGAATGTTTTGGGAATGTTGTATTTATAATTTACTCTATAATAATTAGTTTATTAACCTGACTTAGATAATAAAAATGATCTATTTATAAAGATGGCAAAGTTAAAGTATACTAAATTTTATTTGTCTTATCTTCATTATATTTAATTTTGACTCATCGAACTGATTCATCTATAGAATTCCTTTATTCGTTGTTTTTCAGCGACGAATCGTAAGATGTGATTTTACTGCTACGATTTAATTTCATTCGACATTTTATTTCGCATGAAAATTTAGTTTGAAGGTATTTGTGAAATGGCTTCTCCGTAATCCGAACAAAGATTTCTTCGAAGTTATAATTCTTGACTTGGATGTTTAATTCCTCGACACAGCATCCTACGACCCAGATAAATCTATTCCAAGCTTTCGGCTGTCATGGCAAATATTGTCAGAGCCAGAAACGATTCTTTGACGAACTTTACTTACCAGCACCCCTTAAAAGCGGTCAGCTTAAGCCCTACTTGCCTATATGTTTGCTGCCAAACCCTAATTTCCTTACTTGCTATCTGTAGCGTTACCCAGTAACGTTAGCATCTTTTTTGGCGTATAGTGTGTGCATCACTGGTGTACGGGCAAATCCGTATTAACTTTACCCATCTTAATAAATTTAAGAATCATGATGTAGGTAACAAAAGTAAACTCACTAAATCACATATGAAGATCAAGATGTTGTGGCCTCTGGTATGGTCGTAGTCTCTTTTCGATTTATAGAAGTGGGTTGACCTCGTTGTCGCAACTTGGTCTTGTTTTCAGGGTGACTTGGTAGAACGCACCTAGACCGAAGTCGTCTGCCATAGTAGTTGTGATTCCGAGCATCAGACAGTGGACTTAGTACATTCTCAAACGTTTCGCCGGCATCGTCAATGACTTTTGCCATTTGCCACACCAAGTTACGAACTCGTCAAAGAGACAAGTGAAGTCAATCCCTCGACAAACTAATAAATTTGAAAATAATCTGTCTTTTATTTGTCAAATGAATATAAAGGATTTTCGCAGCCAAATTATCTATCAACTTTTATCGTCTAATTTAGTGATTTATAATTTTTTTTAAATGTAGCAACAATCTATTCCTACTGATGAATCTGTATATATGGCACTTAGTCAAACACGTCAGTTACCATTCTTTGATTCACTTATCGAGATCCATGGTGAACTTTCACGTCGTAAGTCTTTTTATTCTTTATTCATTGCCCCATATTTACCTTTATACACAAAATAGCATACTACTAATGAGTAGCAACCTTAACTATTATCCGCTTTCTCTTTTAGTTAATTCTCGGAAGAAATGGAGACCTTACTATGGTTTAATTAAACGTGAACGAATTATGCTCGTCCTGATTGATTTAGACAAAGGAAAGGAAGAGCAACTGGCGCTTTCCAAATGTGAATTCTTTCCTATTCACCATTCTTTGCTCGAGTAATAATTTAATTTAAGCCATCTTATTCTTATTCCGACTTTTACATGTTTACTGGTATCAGTATAAAGAATTTTGGAGTTTTTAAATTATGCATATAATCGTGAATAAAGTTATGTGAATTTTCCTAGCATGTAAAGACCAAATGGAATTGCCATATGATAAAGGAAAATCAATATTTGTAAGGAGATATCATTGGGAAAATTGTCAATGTCATTAATTATATTCTTTGCGCGATTTGTTATCATCTAGACTGAAAAAAAAGCTGTCTTTACGACACTATTCTTTGCTAATATCCAGATTTTGATGACTTACTATAATCGATTTAATCTAATAAAAGGATCACCAAATTAATACTTAAAAATATTATCCTACTAGCTTTAGTCGAAAATTTTAGTACCCGTCTTAGTTACAACTTTTAACTTTATGACTTGCCATACTTTACTACTTAGGATTAATTTAAGAGAAGGCATCGTTTTCTCATCATATTTATTTGCGCACTGCATCATTAAATGACATTCTAATTTCTTGTTAGTTACCTTTGCCCATTTTTAGTCAGCATCTGAAAGGAATTAAAACTATAGACTCGTGGATTCCACTGCTAACACATTATCTTCCAAGTCAAATGGACCCAGAGCTGTCGGGTCAGAACGCGCTTCCCACTTACTGCAGGAGTGACTCTTTATCAAAGTGTTTGGGGCTTATACCCTTTTTTTCTTATTCTCTTCACTACACCTCACTGCATTTATTAAACTTCATCGACCTCTTAAATCTTTGCGACAGAACTTTTACAATTCCATAACAATAGGTTGTCTCATCTTCATTTAACAATCAATCAATAGTTTTCAGCTTCATTTTCCATTATCTCTATAGTCTGCAATAAGGCATATTATTAAGCCGCTTCACTTTCATTACTATCTGATATACCTGAACCGAGGTTACTTGTTATTCTTTCTTCAAAATAGGTCTAAAACTACAATTTTGGGTCTTCTATTTTTATCTCAATCATTTAATTTAAAAGGCCATTTTCACACTGCTCTCTATTTCTACCTCTTAGTTTACTTGAAATGATGCAAGTGAACCCTTTAATCTGTTTATTTTACTTAAGAAAATTTAACAATTTTGTTTTTTCTTCAGCCGACCCTTCTGTTTTGGTATACTTCTTTACGGTGCAAATCAAGGTGAACGCGAAGAATTTATCATCTCCGTCGACATTCCTCGCTTTCCCTTTTTAACTACTTCGCAAGCAATGCTTCTTCATCCCTTTGGATCAAGCACATCGACTTCGAACGTACAAGGAGGGCTTAGTTCGGCTGGCTCGCTCAACTTGTCTATTTCAAATGGGGTATCTCGCTGTGGACCCTTGGCATCTGCTGGCTATGCTAGCAGTAGTGGAAGCATGTGTACTGGTATCAGTAACGGTGGCAATTATAGCACTACTGGGGGTCTCCAACCTCACATGTTTCCAAATCGCAGTCAGTATCCTCTCGAACTAACTGCTTACGCCGGCTGGCAGTCAATCCCTCTTTTAGCAGAACAGTGTACAATGACCGATCCTTCCTCAACACAATCGTCTACAACATCAATCAACGAACAACAACCTGTCATTGGGGTATCCACCAGCTTGAATGGAGCTGGTGAGGAGAACTTGCCTCCTC